TTGACACTCACGTCATATACTACTTATAAGTAGCTCGCATCACAGTAGTAGTAGTAGTAGTAGTAGTAGTCTGGCTCTTATTGTTTAATTCACGATAAGTGAAGAAATCTGTTCAGGCTACCATGATGGAGTAGTTAGCAAATAATGATCAGTGACTGGAGATAATTGGCGATATATGATTGATTGACTAATGGATTTATCTTCCATTCTCTGTTTATCATTTATCATTTCAGTATTATGATGTTGCTTTTCATCAGTTACCGCTATTATAATCATGTAGATATTGAAGCCTCAATCTACTGATTTATCAAATAAGTTAAGTTTATGTAATCGGCGTTGAGCCGCGCTGTTTATGCGAGACAGCTAATATGATATTACTACCCGAACTAATTGTATGGGCGTTCAACGTACAATACTGGGGCAATCGTTAACTATCTTACATTGAATAATTATCCTTAGTTCCATTGTTCATTTCTCATCACAACAGATTTGGTTTTCATTCTTAATGTTTAGTTAATGATTAGGTTCTGTTCAGTCTTGAATTATAAAGAGATTATATATATATATATGCAAAACGGAATACAGACTTGAAGCGTTTCACAAATCGATCATCTGTATCACTGAAAAGGCGACAAAAGCATTCTAATTTGGTGGCTGAGAATCTAAAGGGGTCGATAAAAAAAAAACTTGACTATTTCTTGTGAAATCAATAATTGCGCAACGGTTGTTTGTTAATAGTGGATCGCTGTCTAAGTCGTCAACAAAATGCCTTCAGTGAATATGAATTATATTTCAAATCTCTGTCGATTTGAAAAACAATTTTTGATCGAAATCATCATTCATAATGTCACATCATCTACTAAAGTACAAGATTTGAACTCATTATAAAATTTACTGACGATTAAGTAGTCGCTGCAACAACTTATCCATAGGGAATCATGATGAGACTGTAATCTGCTATCAGATTCAATAAAAATGAACAACATTCAGAGAAATTTCTTCTACAAAGTTAGTTAGCCAGTTAACTCTACAACGTAGAACGTACATCAACTCAAGTTGCCATACCACATTAGTACACACACAGAGAGATCGAATCATCAATTCAAATCCCGTAGTAGTAGTAGTAGTAGTAGTAGTAGTAGTAGTAGTAGTAGTAGTAGTAGAAGTATTAGCAGCAATGAATTGTAACCAATTCAGTCTCGTTTGCTGTTATGTGTGTAAGAGAGCGGATATCACTTTCCGGTTGCGCTTACACCGTGGAAGGTGTATACGAAGTTATCGATTTTTACAATAGGCAAATAAATATATTAAAACATTATTGTTGTTGTTATATAATACTTTTTTTCTCTATCTCATCATTTAATATTGTTGTAAATTTTTTTCTGTTGAAACATTGTGCATTTCTTTTTTCTAACAAACTTCCTATTTTATTTTGTCTTTTCATCTCCAATTCCGCTGTGTCCCCCCCCCACGATTCTGCTCTCCTATACACACACACACACGCACACACACCCAACTCATCCCCAAAACATCCTGTATGCATGATGCTTTTGTTTTTTTTTTCGTTATCATCTGCCGTTTCCTACAAATCAATATATACAATACACACATTATGTAATGTTGTCTTACTTACATTGTGTGTGTCATTACGGTTGGTTTTGCATTGCATGCGATTTATTCGATTGATTTACCCCCTACTACACTGTCGAATTACTATAATTATTGAAAATATGCATTTATTTGTTTGTCTCTGTCTGTGTGTATGTGTGTGGTTATGTGTTTGTGCGTTTGTACGTTCGTATGTACACTCCACTGTCATTAACATCGATGTTTCTGACTGACTAACTAACTAACTAATCATCACTTGGTTATGTTGTCAATGTCATTTATGTGTAATATATTTTCCTCTTCTGTATAAATTTTTTGGTGTCTTGCTTTGATTCTGTGTTATTTTCCCTGATATAATTTCAATTGTTCACAAATACTACTACTAATAATAATAATAATATACTAATAGGTTCAACCACTGAATGGTAGTCAACAACAACAGCAGCAACAATACGAAGAAGTGTTACGTATTACTCAGTGTTAATTGTTCACACTGATTGTGTTGACTCTCTCATCTATCCCTTTGTATCATTTTTCTCTGTTTAATTATCCTCTCTCTTTCTAAATTGTTTTTTTTTTAAACCTCAGGTTTATTGAAATAACAAATAAACAAATTCAAATGTAGCGGATATACTACTTATTTTATTGATTTATCCTATAAGTAGTACTACTACTAGTAGTAGTAGTTGTTGTAGTAGTAGTAACGAATTTAGAAAAAATCAATTTCAATTACGTTAACAAGTCACTTTTTTGTCTATGGATGACACTAGTGTTTTATATTTTTATTTAGTTTAAATGATATTAGTGTAAAAAAAAACTTTATCAGGATAGTTATCTACCACGCTTAATTGTAGTTGTATATATATATATGAAAAGAGTGGTAGTTTTTCCTTGTACGTTGGTAGTACACAATATGCGCACAACGTAGGAATGTGCATGTTATTGTAAATGTGAACTTTCAGTACTCAATAAATCTAACTCAGGTGATGGATGGATGATACAACACATATATTGTTAAGCCCGTCCGTGTTGACATGCACAAGAAGGTGTTTTTGTTAGTTTCAACATGTATCAACTTTATCCCCCCTCCTCTTGCATCTTTTATTGTCTATTTCTCTAAATCAATCAATCAACCGATCATAAACAAACCACAGCAACAATAATCAATACTACCATGTTCTCTTTTTTGAATGTTCTTTCATGCTTATCCCCCCCCCCGATTTCTTCTTATTCTTCCCATCACTTTCTGTTCATCTTTCTTTCTTTTTCATTTCAATTGATTATGTATGTAATTGTGTAAGCAAGCCACCCATCAAATATCGTCGGAATGAATTCATCATCCTCACCACCAGCACCACCACCGCTGTTGCTGTGTGTTGCTGTGTTTTGTTTTAACGGCATAGAGAGAGAGAGATGTGTGTGTATTATGACACATATACTGTTTTTTCAGTTGATTTATGTTTTTGGGACAGTAGCAGTTCAATTCACAGAAAAAAAATCTTAATTTGGTAGGTGATTGAATGTATGAATGGTGGCGGTAATTGGCATGTTCACTTGTTGTGTTGTTTGTTTTATTGTACACATTTTATTTTCTAATTTTCGTTTTTTGACAATTATAATTTTTCCATGTAGTGTTGTTTTATTTTTGGTATGTTTTTCGGTTTTGTCTGTCTAATATTTTACACGTAGATTATCGATCATTTGTCAATAGTTTTGTAATGTTACAGGTGTATGTGCATGTGCATGTGCTCATTTCCACCGTTTCCCTTTTCAATACACCTAATGATTATTGTTTTTTGTGCTGTTTCCTCCTTTGCTCCATTTGCATGTGTGTCTGTGTGTTTGTCTGTGTATGTGTGTTACTTCAACATATGACGATAGTTCATTAGTTCAATTGTCAATATTAAACATCCTCTCTATAATTAAGTTTAATGTGATAATATGCTGAGATTTTTTATTAAGATACATTTTATCCATTGGTTTGTGCGTAAAAACCTTATCACCGTCAACACTAATTTAACTACAAATTTACATTAGTGACTGAACTTAGCATTATTCCGGTTAGAGACCTTGAATGACATGGCTCAAAATCGTTTGCAGTGGTACAGGTGCATTCATTCTTTGTATTCTCTCAAATCCTAACTTTCTGAATTCCTCATTATCTCTATCTTTCTCTTTCTAAATTTATCTGACTAAATAATACTCCTTGAATATTATCTTCGGACTGTAATCGTCTCCATTACCGCTAATACTTCTGTAGTGAAGGAAAACACAGGTGAGGACAACCGAATTGTATTTAACGAAAATTACAAAGTTACTCAGTAAAATAGGAAAACCATACTGTAAATTGTTAATTTGCAAATCTTCAATCAATCATCAATCGATTGTCTGACATTTCACTTATTCATGCGTTTCATACAAATTCCATTGTGTTCCCACTCTTCCTTTTTTCTTGATCTTCCCTCATCTTCTACTGCTAGACATTACGTTGATACTCACGTCATATACTACTTATAAGTAGCGCGCACCACACTTCTACTATCTCTCTACCACTATAGGATTTGAACTGACACTGGCGTCTCGTTGCTAATATGGTATGGCAATTTGAACTGATGTACTTACGTACAGAGTTCTACATTGTAATTGACTTAACATTATTCCATGTGAGTTTCGTTCTAGGATAATGTGGTTAAACTAGTTAAGTTACTTACTTTACTTACGCCTGTTACCCCCAAATGGAGCATAGGCCGCCGCCCACCAATTTTCTCCAACCAACTCTGTACTGGGCTTCCCTCTCCAGTTCTGTCCAATGTTTGTTGATTCCTCTCATATATTTCTCTATTTCTCGGCGTAATGTATTCCTTGGCCTTACTCTTTTCTGCCAGTAGAACCTTCGGGGCTACTGCCGGTCTCAAGCTCGGATAAAGGAGGAGGGTTGGACATGGGGTTGGCGACCCCATTCCGTCAAAAATTAACTTGCCAAAAAAACGGTTAAACCAGTTGCATTATGTTATTTTTTTACAAAAAATATTATTAGTTATGAGGTTATTCATTAGATTGTACTTTCAAATATCAGAATTTTTATTTCATAATGTTTGATTAGGTGATTCAAGTGTTTTTCTTATTATACAGTTGTGAAAATCTAGAGAAAAAAATGATATCTATCCTAACTGTTTCAATATTCAATTGTAGTAACAACAAGGACTTTGCTCTATTTTTTTAAAAAATGCACCAGTTAAGGGGGGGGGTTATAGAACATTTTTGTAATTAACCATTCAATCTGGAATGCTAGTGACTGTTTTTTTCACTGTTAAAATTAACTGATACATGTTCTGGTGTTGTTGTTTGAGTGTGACTTTTAAGATATCAATTTTTTTTGTAAAAATAGTTGTATGCTATTGCGTAAATGCAATAATAATAATAATAATAATAATAATAATAATAATAATGATAATAATAATAATAGTCCTACTATGTATACACTGTCAATAGGATTTGTTGAATAGAGAAAATGTTAAATGAAGTATTTCCATTGATAATATTGCATTAATACTACAACATTGTGTTACATTGGTGCAAATCAAGATTTCACATTTCACTTAATAGGGAAAACGTAGGTGTGGTGGTGTTTCGTTCTCTGATCTGGTTGTTTTGGTTGTGAAGCTTTCATTGTCCTTCTTCTGAACAGCAACATCATCAGCATAAACTTCAGATAGAAGAACAATGAAAGCTCCATAACCAAAACAACCAGCTCAGAGAACGAAACACCACCACAATCATCCGCCTGAACTACAAGTTTTCTCCACTATCTAAAAACCGTAGATGTGCGTGTGATTGTTGTTGAATTTCCTAGATAGAACGAAATAGATGTTATAGTACATACACATTGATAGTCATCATTTTATTGAATCACTTGGACTATCTGTTTAAGTTATGTGATATAATGTTGTTAATAGTGATATTGTATGACTGGATGTACTTGACAGGAACTCTGTTTAATCCTAGGTCTCATGTTAGTTGTTACTCGCTGCGATGGCGTATCGTGGAATCCTTGTGAATATTGGTACTTTCCTTACATCGAGAAAATCTAAGGTTTATTACAAATTGTCTTCTACTATTGACTTTTACGTTGGTCATTATACGGAAATGTATGTAATGTAGGATTTATACGTGATCAAGGTGCTATAGACTTATTTAATCCGCTTAAAATTACTTTCGCCTGTGATTCCCAATGGAGCATAGGCCGCCGGCCAGCGTTCTTCAACCTACTATGTTCTGGGCTTCCCCTTCCAATTCTGTCCAATTTTTGTTCATTCATCTCATGTCTTTCTATTTCTCGGCCTAATGTGTTTCTTGGCCTTCCTCTCTTCCTTTGACCTTGGGGGTTCAATGTGAGGGCTTGCTTTGTGACGCAGTTGGGTGATTTGCGTAGTGTGTGTCCTATCCACTTCCAGCACTTCTTCCTGATTTCCTCCTCCACTGGAATCTGGTTTGTTCTCTCTCACAGTAAGTTGTTGCTGATAGTGTCTGGCCAACGAATCCGAAGTATTTTGCGTAGACAACTGTTAATAAACACTTGTATCTTCTGGATGATGGCTTTGGTAGTTCTCCAAAAATTTCCACTCCATATAACGGAAACTTATTTATTAATCCGCTTAAAATAGACTAATTTAAATTATTGCCAATGTAAAATCAATGAAGTTTCACATTTTCGACTACAGCTTAGTTCTCTCATAGGCTCACTCTTTCTTTTGATTATAACTAGCCAATAAGTTGCCAGTACGAGTCCCATTTCATCTGCTTCATGTTGGTAGCCAGTTGGGATTATTAATTGTCATACACCTTTTAAGTTTATTTCCCAAATGTGTCCATGAAGAACAAGTTACATTAACTTAATGTATAAATCCTAATATAATTTTATTGTTAATCAAAACTTCTTGAGTTACACTCAAATAGTTTGGTTAGTTCTTTTCTAATCTCTTGTTTCGTCTACAATTCTTATCTGATCAATCGAAGCATTAGTAATTCATATCATATTATTCTTCGTACAAAATAATTCACTATCAGCTTTCACTCCATATATATACTTTGTATTAATGAATTGTCCCATTGCTCGTATATCGTGGGACAACCGATTAAGCAATGCTAGTGTTAGGAAACGGGTGCTAGTTAAGGATGGCAGATCAATAGATGAAGTAGTGAAACTTCATCAGTTGAGGTGGTTGGGACATGTGTTACGTATGCCCAACCACCGACTGCCTCGACGAGCGATGTTTTGTGGTGTATGAGTAGGTTGAAAGAAAACTAGGGGCGGCCAGATCAAAACGTGGAAGAAATCCATGAAGTCACTGACAAGTGGACTGAGTCATGTTGGTAGGTGTAGACTACCTGGTTGGGGTCCGCGAGATGATAGTAATCGATGGTTAGAGACCCTGAATGACATGGCTCAAAATCGTTTACAATGGCGCAAGTGCATCCATTCTTTGTGTTCTCTCAAATCCTAATCTTCTGGATTCGTCAGCACTTCTACCTTTGTCTTCTAACCTTATCTCACTGAATTATACTTCTTGAATAATATCTTCGAACCCTTTAGTCTTGTTCATTATCATTAATACCTCTACTATCTTTATCACTATGAGATTTGATTTGACATTTGCGTCTCTGTGTTAATAATGCGGTATGGCCACATGAACTTATGTACGTACGTACGTCGTAGTTCTACGTTGCAACTGACTGATTAATGAGTTGAAATAAATTTTCAATTAGTTGATAAATAATCCGCATTTTACTAGTTACCATTTTATTGTATTTGTAGTGCATAGTTGTCTTACAAAATGTATATTCATAAACCTTTCATTGTAAACTTCGAAACTTGCATTCAACGCTAAATAAAACACAATGGCGTAGTTAGAAATGTTGCATTTTTGAAGCAACAGAATACCTTACTTACCCTAAAGGATGTATAAAAATTGTTTTTGACTAAAATTCTCTCTGTGATTTGTTCAAGAGTTTGAATCATTTCTAGTTGTGTAAATATTTTGTTTAGTGGCCTACCATGATCGTGAGTATGCGATGAAATAAAATACTTCCCCTTAATTTCTGAACCTCGTTTGTGTTGTAGTGAAGGTGAACACAGGTGAGGGCAACCGAATTGTATTTAACGAGAATTACAGAGTTTATCAGTAAAGTAGGAAAACCATATCGTAACAGTTAATTTGCAAATCTTCAATCCATCATATCGAACTGGATTGTTCCTGTTGCAAAACATCAATCCATTATCACTATTCATGCGTTTCATACAAATCCCATTGTGTCCCCACTCTTCCTTTCTCGATCTTCCCTCAGCTTCTGCTGCTAGACATTACGTTTACACTCGCGTCATACACTACTTATAAGTAGCGCGCACCACAGTGTGACTACGGTAATAAGAAGCTAAATACAGCTTCAGTTCGATGAATTCATTTCATACAATCGTTCATGCAGACCAACATGAGAGTAAAAAGCATACAAACAAAGCATAGTGAAGTGGAGATGGCCAGTGGGCCAACTCGTTGAGATTAGACATGACTTATTATTTATATTGAAGCTATATATAACGTGTTAGACATGTGATAAGCGCGAAATAAGCTTGCACACACACACACACAAATAGAAACAACTAAGGATATGAGTGAATATAAATAGACAAGGTCAAAAGGCATGTGAATAAACTTGATTTAATGAATTCGGTCAAAGATTTAGGACAACAGGCCATTTTGTGGGCTTGACACGTATTTAGTGTACACACTACAATTTCAGTGGATTTTTTTTAACCGAATAATTGTAAGTATTTACCATGATGTGTATTCCACATGGTTATTGTATTATTAGGAAGTACTTCCAACCTAATTTATGATGACAAGTGTTGAAAATCTTCAATTAAAAGCACTAGAGCTCGCTGTCTGTCTTATTTGTTTGAAAAAGAAACAAACGATGTGGCCCTAGAATTGAATCATTGATTATGCAATCAATGAGCAAGACAATACTGGTTATTGTGCTGGCCAATGTATCACTAGTTTCGTGACGTGTTTCATATTCACAACGTGTTTTCTTAGTCTTTGTAATTTGCTCGTCTAGGTAATCGTCACCGAAATAGCACCTGACGGTTTATAAATCGCAAGGCAAAAAAAACAAACCAGGGGTTGAATACGTTTATTTTTTGACACACCACAAACAAAATGGACCAGCAGACCATAAGCAGGCAGGGCAAGCACATTAGCGAGCGAATTGGTGAATAAATTAATAAGATTAAAATGTCTGAGTCATCGAGATATTTAAGAGATTAGCATTAAAGCGAATAGAATGAATATGCACGCAGGCGGTAAGCACTGTTCAGTCGTTACCAGCTCTCATACAAACTAGACAATAGGTTAAAAAGCCAATGGTACACATTTAAGTTGTTGCTATACCAGTTGCTTGGTTAAAAGTAAGTTAATTAAAAAAATGTCTTAACCGAATTAAATAATAAGAGAACTGAGAAATGTATGTGTAGGCACTACATACAAGGTAACACAAGCGAGGTTAGAAATTGACTAATTAAAGTCTTCTAACATCATTATCAGTCTATTAAACTATGAATGTACTAATTATCGCTTACTGGTTATCGTTTTCTCCTTTTTTCATCATCTCTATTTGTTGTAAAATGTCAAAACATGAATTGTCCCTAGTTTTTGAACATTGTTCTACTTTGTTTAAATTGACTACATGATAATACTGAAAGAGATATGTACATCGTAATTATTATTATTATTATTATTATTATTATTATTATTATTATTATTATTATAATATCTAATCATTATCAGCATTGTGTCGTTGACTGTTTAAGTATTCAAGTATTGATATGTTTAAAGTATTATTCACAAGCTGTACACTACTACCTGGTTGAGGTCCACGAGACAACAACAACTAGTGATTAGAGACTTTGAATGACATGTCTCAATATCGTTTGCGATGACACAGGTGCATCGATTGTTTATCTTCTCTCAGGTTCTAATCTTCTGAATTCCTGATGACCGTTCTGTTCTCTTTTTAAACCCAGTCAGTCAGTTACAACGTAGAACTTCGTACGTACGTACGTACATCAGTTCCGGTTGCCATAGAGACCAAATTGGTCTTTTTAAACTTATTTCACTGGATTATACTTCTTGAATAACATCTTTGAATCCCAATCTTCTTCACTAGCGCTATTACTTTTACTACCTATACTATTGTGGAACTTGAATTGACAATTCGATCTATGTGTGCTAATGTAGTGTGGCAACTTGAACTGATGTATGTATGTACGAAGTTCTACGTTGTAGCTGACTAACTGGTTGATTATTCACAAGCTGTAAAAACCAAAAAAAATAATGTCAGATTACGATTTTCATTAGATTAGATAACATTCTATCTATCTTTGTTCCGTTTAGTAAAATCTGTTATCTAACTTTGACATGATATGAAACAATATCTTAAAACTATGCAACTAATCAAATCATGATTCTTTTTTTGTCAGAATATTTCTAGTTATTTGTGTTATGTTCTGTACTTCATTAAAACTCTTTCATTATATATGAAGCGGTTATTCATACTACTTACTAATTATTACTTAACTGCTCCCATTTCCTTTTTTGGAAATTTACATTGGGAATGTAATTATTTACAAACTTGAAACACTTGTCTTTTGCCTTCTTCTTATTCAGTGTCTGTGATACACTGATACATGATACACTGCAACTTGATTGGTATTGAAAGATTGAGGGAAGTTTTAACATTGAGTGTACTATTACTATCGCTACGTAAATAATCAATGTGAATATTTCAATCCCATCGATATGGTTGAAATACATCAGTGCTAACTTTTTCAACTGTGAAGATAGATGATAAGATCAGTCAATAACAACATAGAACTTCGTATGTATGTACATCAGTTCAATTTGCCATACAACATTAGCACACAGAGATGCATTAGTCATTTGAAATCCCATAATAGTAAAGGTAGTAGAAGTATTAGCAGTAATCGGAGAGATTAGGGTTCGAAGATGTTATTCAAGAAGTATAATTCAGTAAAATAAACTTAGGAAGAAAGGTAGAGATGATGAGGAATTCAGAAGGTTAGGACTTGAGAGAACACAAGAATGAATGCATCTGAGCCACGTCGTTCGAGGTGACTTTCGTCTCGCGGACCCCAACCAGGTAGCCTACATCTACCTTTCAGTGACTTCATGGATTTGTGCTATGTTTTGGTCTGGCTGTCGCTAGTTTTTGCACAACCTTTTCCTACGTCTCAAAACGTAGCTCGACGATCCAGTTGGGCATTCGTAAGACATGTCTCGATCACCTCAACTGATGAAGCTTCAACTCTTCATTTGATCTGCGATCCCTACTTAGTACTCGTTTTCTAACAACAGTATTGCTTACTTGGTTGTCCAAGGATGCACGAGCAATGCTTCAGAGACACCTATGATCTAAAACCAGTAACCTTCGAATATCTTCTATTCTGACTAGCCCTTTTTCACATCCATAAAGTATGACGGAGCGAACTACTGTGCACTAGACTCGTACTTTGGCTATCAAATGGATATTTCGTCTACGCCATGTGTGACGCAATTTGGCGAAGGCTAATCGAGCCTTCTGTATCCTTGCTAAGATTTCATCAGTTACCATGCCATCAACACTGTGATCAGACGATAACGGTTCGAATCCTGTAGGAAGAGTCCGTTTTTTTTAAAGTTACTGGTATGCCTTGTTGACGAACGCGTGACCTTGACTAACAAGTTAACTACTAATTGTGTTTCTAACCAACTAACATAGCTAAGTGACTCGATAATATTTGAGCAAGATTTAAATAGTGTACAATGTTATTATGGCTTTCCTATGGAATGAATAAAACTAGTTGATCAATAAATCTCTAGTGTATATTTATTTTGTATACCTGCTAGTGTTTATACATTTATGACATGAACAATATTATTAGTGTGTGTGTGTGCGTGTATACATGTTTGGCCATATATGTAAAACAAGTTAAATCATTTATCAATGACTATTTTCATTTGTACTAGGTCTCCTTAAATATAATATACACTAATGATTATATTGACAATTATGTAAGGAGTTTCAATGAAATTATAAATCAATTATTGTTAGACAGACCTACTATTAGTATGTCAGTTCAGTGGTCTAGATAGAGGTTAGGCCGTTCGTTTACGAGACTCAATGTCCTGGGTTCGACTCCTACAATCGCACTGCTGATGAGTCCCATTTATTACTAGGACGAAACGGGTTCCAGGTTGCTTTCTATCAGTGGTCTAACATTGATCGATTCATGGTTTCAAAAAATGTGTAACTTAACAATCTTCACAACAACCCCGTAATGCAAATTACCTGTGCTCACTAGTGACTAGCTTCGTGAGGAATCTTCTCCGAGTTCTAGTGGGAAGACGTGACCAGTGAAGTTCTACCTGTTCGGGTGTAGACAGTGTTTACCGAAGACTGTGTATGAGGTCGCGCAACTCCGTGAATTTGATCAAGTTAGACATTAACACCGTTAGATACTGCCGGCTCAGTGGTTCGATGGTTAGGCGTTCGCCTACAATACCGAAGGTGCTGGGTTCGAATCCTGCGAGGTTCACGATTCGTGGATGCGCACTGTCGCTGACGAGTCCCATACTAGGACGAAACGGCCGTCCAGGTTTCTAATGATGGTGGTCTAACATTGATCGATTCATGGTTTCAAATAAAACTTAACAATCTTCACAACAACCCAGTAGTGTCAAGTGAACGAACGCTGAATTTCACTGTTTGTAAATCAACTAACTGTAATTAAGTTAGTTTGTTTTTAGTCAGTTATTTTTTTGAATAATTGATTTTAACTTTGGTGAAATAAAATTTTCTAAATTTTTTTTCTATAAAAGTTTTGAATTGATGAAGACATATATATATTATACTTTTGGAATACATTTATTTCTAAGTGAAAAGAGGAATAAGATAAAAATATAAAGGGAATTTTTTATGTATGTGCGAATTGCGTGTTCTTTTTCTACCTGAACATATTCGAGAATATGTTAAAACTATTCTTTAAAAAAGGGGAGAAACGGTTCCGTTTTGTTTTAATGCATAAATTATAAATTATCGAGCTCGAACATCCTGTTATTAATAGTTGACAATAGTCCTATTGTAGTGAAGGAAAACACAGGTGAGGGCAACCGAATTGTGTTTATTCGCAAATTACAGAGTTACTCAGTAGTAAAATCGGAAAATCATATCGTAAATTGGTAATTTGCAAATCTTCAATCCATCATCAATCCATTGTCTGACATTTCACTAATGTTGATGCGTTTCATACAAATTCCATTGTGTTCCCAAAGTTCTTACTTTCTTGTTGATCTTCCCTCATCTTCTGCTGCCAGACATTACGTTTACAGTCGCGTCATATACTACTTATAAGTAGCGCGCACCACACTATATGTATATACATATTCTCTGTATGAATTAATTTGAATTTTGCCTAATATATAATTTTTCTTTCCGTTTATCCAATGGATTACAAGCTTGTTGAAATGTTCTTGTCCAATGTGTACACTAATAAAATTCATTGAATTAGCTAGCCGTCGACGGAAAAGTTATTGTAAATTAAAATGAGGAATAACTTTGTAATTTAAAAAAAAAGTCGATGATTCTGATAATTTATTTGAAACCATGAATCGATCAATGTTAGACCATCACTATTAGAAACCTGGAAGCAATGAAAGACGACCGTTTCGTCCTGGTATGGGACTCATCAGTGGCAGTGCGCATCCACAACTGCCGCACTCCGCAGGATTCGAAACCAGCACCTTCGGTATTGTGCGTGAACGCCTAACCATCGGACCACTGAGTGGGTATCTAACGGTGTTAATGTCTAACTTGATCAATTCACGGAGTTGTGCAACCTTATACGCAGTCTTCGGTAGATACTGCCTACACCCGAACAGGGTTGAACTTCACTGGTCACGTCTTCCCACTAGAACTCGGAGAAGATCGCTCACGAAGTTAGTCACTAGTCAGCACAGGTAATTTGCATTACGGGGTTGTTGTTAAGTTTTATTTGAAACGATGAATCGATCAATCACGAACTGATCATAGCTAGACCACACCAGCACTGGAAACTTGGCAGTACTGGGGAGGGGTCGTTTCGTCCCTACTATGCGTATCTTCTGCAGTGCGCGCACCTACGACTTGTGCATTCGGGGGGGGGTCGGTTATCGAATCCCATGATTTTGGTAACACTCGTGAACATCTAACCACTAGACCACGACTAAGTCGGCACCTAATCAATCCACTTTCTATTCTTATTCAAATGATTATTAAACATTCTAAGTTGTCTTGGGATTTATGTTCTAATTAAAAAATTTTTTTTGAAAAATTCTGATTATGATAAACATGTTCTGTTTGTGTGGTGGTGTTGTTTTGAGAGAGATCAATTACGTATGCTTTCCACCAGACAGACACAGATAGATACAACGCAGAACTTCGTACGTAAGTACATCAGTTCAGGTTGCCATACCCCATCAGCACAGAGACGCAACTGTCAGTTCAAATCCAAGAGTGATAGCGATAGTAAAATTATTAGCAGTAATGGAGAAGATTAGGGAGCGAAGATATGATTCGAGAAGTATAATTCAATAAGATAAATTTAGAAGGAGAAAGGTAGAGATTATGAGGAATGCAGAAGCTTAGAATTTCATAGAACACAAAGAGTGGATGCACCTGCGCCATTGCAAACTATTCCGAGCCATGTCGTTCAAGATCTCTAACCATTGGTGACTTTCGTCTCACGGACCCCAACCAGGTAGTCGACAACTACCAACATGACTCAGTCCACTTGTTATCAGTGACTTCAAGGATTT